CAGTTTCCTGTATATTCTGGAAATGAGTCCACACTGGTTTGTATTATTGGATCCTATTAGCAAGTGATTACTTTCAGCCATGATGTTCTGTCATCTGCATATTACTGTGTGTTAATGACATGTCCCCCTCCCTGATGCTTCAGTCTTCCCCACATAGTTCAGCTTCTCGGCTCATTCAGCAGAGAAGTATTGACTTCAAACCATTCAGTGTCCCCTTGTTCTTTTCTAGCGACTGCCAAAAAAGGTATTTATAACGAATAAGTTGCTGGTCTTGCAAAATTCTATCATGTGATCGTCAGCATCGTTTCTATCCAGGGCACCACCTCCTGAGCCTCCGTTTCCAACATTCACATCCAGTCACCAGGAATTATCAATGATTGCATGTTTGATCCATTTCAGTCTGAAAAAGTTGGGAGAATTCTTCAATTCTTTCATCACTGGCTTTAGTGGTTGGTGCGTAAATTTGAGTAAGTCTTCCTTATAGGCATATGGGTATTATCCTAGCACAGAGAGCATTGTAATTCAAGATAGATCTTGAAATGCTTTTTTTTTTGACAATGAATGAGATGCGATTCTTCTTCAATTTGTCATTCCTGGAATGGTAAACTATATGACTGTCTGATTCAAAATGGCCAGGACTCATCTTCTGCTCACTATTGCCAGGGGTGGGATCCTGGTGTGGTACCGCTGCTCCTCGGAAACCCTACACAGGGTTCACTGAGTCAGAACTTTCAGGATGGCATTTACCAATAACAACAATGCCTAGGATATCCATCTTTACGCATTCCATTTCATTTTTGACAACTTCCATCTTCCAAGGTTCAGACGTGTACATTCCATGTTCTGATTATTATTGGATGTTTGCAGCTGTTTCTTCTCATTGTGAGCTGTGCCCCACCAGCAAATGAAGGTCCAGAAAGCTTTGCTTCATCCACATCATCACTGTCAACTCTACTTTGAGGACGTAGCTCTTTCCCAGTTGGATTCTGACTATCTTCCAACCTGAGGGGCTCATCTTCCAGCACTGTATCTGACAATATTCCACTGTTATCCATAAGGTTTCTAGTGGCAAACCATTCAGAAGTGGCCCACCCCTCCTCCTTCCTAGTCTGTCTTCATCTGGAAACACAGTTGAAACCTGTCTACCATGGGTGGACCCGCTGGTCTTTAAAATCCCAGCAGGAGCGCTCCAGCAGCACAGCACCATGCCAGTTTATGCTGACTCCATACCGGTTCTAACAGGATCCCTAGAGCTCTAACAGTTAAAGCGCTTGACAGCTGAGACTAAGAGTCTGGTGGTTTGAACCCACCAGCAGCTCCACGGGAGAAAGACCAGTCTGTTTCCGTAAAGATTTACAGCCTTGGAAACCCTCTGGGCCAGGAGACCCCACATCAGTAAGTGTGCTGCCTAGCTCCCCCCACGTGCCCACCTTACACCCGGCTCCAGCTCACTGCCCAGACCCTTTCCTAGTGGGAGATGCAGCCTGTGAGGCCCTCAGAGGACACTGACCGACAGTTCCGTCTGTGATGGCGGGGGCCTGGGCTGAGTCTGTCAGGCCAGGCCAAGGGGAGGCCCCCGGAGATGGTTGAGGAAGATGAATTCAGCCAGCGGAACCTTGGGCCCGAGAGACCCACGGCAGATGTTTGAGGCCGATGTAACATGACCCTGAAGAGGAAGGGGGTGGTTCTGAGAGTCCCTTGCTGGGCGGCCTGAGGACCACCCACCGGGGCTGGGCGAGCACAGATCTCCTCGCCCCAGCTCCACAGCCGCAGCCTCTGCGTGGCCTTTTCCCTGCAGCCTCGGGAGATGCTCCCCGTGAGTGGCAGCATGTCACTGATGTCCTCGTCGCTGCTGCTAAGGATGTGACCGGACTCACGCATGGTGGGACAACACATGCCAGTGTCAGCCATGTGGAGGAAGTGATGGTTACAGCCCCTCCCTAGATGCCACGGGGCCTCTGACACAGCCCTGAACACTAGCGTTTGGGGGCGGCACGCTGGTAGTCCTGCCAGGGCATCCATGGGCCAACCCAGAAATACACAGAACCGGGGATGGAGTTTTGCGCTCTTTCCTGGATGCCCACCTTGTAACAGAAATACCACGTGAGGGTGTATGTAACAAGCACAAATCCGTGTTCTCTGAGGAAGAAGCTGGCTGTCTGAGTGCAGGGCACTGCTCTCGGGGAGGTGTTCTCGGTGGGCTCTGCCGGAAGCTTCTGTCTCTTCAGCAGGTCTCCACATGGTGTGGCATCTCCCTTAGGGCTCCAGAGATGGACTCAAGGCGCCCCCTCACTCTGCTGCCTCATTAACATAACAAAGACACCCCATCCCCACATGGGAGTGCAGTCACAACACACATTCTGGGGGCGGGGGGGCACTGACAGTTGGTCCAAGAATTCTCAGGGAGAAGCAATGTCCTGAACACCGTCAAGCACTGGACTGCTCACCGCAGGTCGGTGGTTCAAACCCACAGGAGGCAGATTTACAGCCTTGGAAACCAACACAGGATCGTTGTATGTCAGAACCAATTTGAGGGCAGTGGGTGGGTTTTGAGCCCTGTCCAGACCCTCTGGAGGCACCAGGCCCTTTCTCACCGTAAGGAATCCTGATCCTGGGGGCGGGGTGGGGTGTGGACACCTCTATGTATGGAAGGAAGCCTCCGGAACTCTAGGATGACAGTCTAGGAAATGACCCTCAGAGCTTGGGGGTCAGGGTGAGGTTTCTAAAGCCCGACCACCTCCAGGCCCCTCTTAACGGTGAAGGGGAGTGTGCTGGGCTCACCAGGAACAGAACCTTACAGGAAAGTGAGTCAAAAATGATCCACACTCCAATTATATTACAATGCTTGTCCATGTCCTCGGCCAGTGACACTGAGCGTGAGTGGGAACAGCTCTGTCCAATAGACGAATGACTGTGGATCATGTGGTCAATCATCTGCAAATCCACCCTGGCTCTGCCAATGATGTCATCCACGATGACATCATCCGCAACAGACTTGGGTTTTGAAAAGTGTGTGCTAGATGGGTACTGAAACAACGCACGGAAGAGCGTAAACATGTGTGTGGACATCTGTCTGCAAACAAAACTTGGACCCATGCTTCTTTAAAGAAATCATTACTGGGAATGAGATACGGATTCATCACTACGAGCCTGAGAGTAGACGTCAGAGTGTGGAATGCAAACATCCTTAATCGCCGACTAAGATAAAATTCAAAAGCCAACCATCAGCTGGAAAATGGATGCTGACAGTTTCCTGGGATTCTCAAGGGCCAGTGTTGGAACACTATCAGGAAAAGGTTTAACAATCAACAGGGTTCGTTACAGTGAGATGCTCACTGCAGAGCTGAGGCCTAAACGTCAGATTAAACACAGAGGGTGGCTGTCCAAGGGCGGTTGTAACCTTGCATGACAACGCACGTCCTCACACCTCTGCCCACACTGTTGACTCTCTGCAAAAAACCCCTGTCTTTTTGAGGTGTTAATGCATCTTCCCTATGGTCCTGATCTTGCTCCATCAGACTTTCACCTGTCTGGTCCCATGAAAGCAGCCCTTTGAGGATGACAATTCACCTCTGATGAAGAAGTGAAGACAGTGGTGCATTTGTGCCTCACAGCTCAGCTGAAAATGTTTTTTAATACGGGAATACAAAAGCTTGTTGATAGATGGACAAAGTATATTGAAAAGCAAGGTGATTACATCAGAAAATGAGGTACGTGTTTTTGCTAAAAGTTGATGGAAATGAATGCTCCAGCTAGAGTGTGGATAATTTTTGACTCACCCTCCTACAGGGCAGGCCAGGGCGGGAGGAGGGGCCACAGACTCACCTGGAATAGGATCTGCAGGGCACCATGGAGCAGACACAGGCGCCGTCCCAGGGGCAGGAAGAAGGGCACCAGGAGCTCCACCAGGTGGTTGCCAAGGGTCTCCGTGCGGTGGATCCACCAGGGGGAGCGGTGCAGGTAGTAGGCTGTGGGGCTGGGCACTGGCTGGGTCTGCGGAGGGTCACAGGCCGGGTCAGGGGAGTCTTGCTGAGTGAAGGGGATCAGCATTATGCTCTGGGTTCCTAACTCGGGAAGGACCTCGTGGTTGCTGGGACCCATCAGCCACCAACAGAGGGTGCAGTGCAGAGCTGAGTGTGGGGGTGGTGTGGGTCCTAGGAAGACACAGAAACACGCAATTTCCACATGTGAGCTTAGGCCCCACTGGCTATGTAGGGACATGGCTAATCCTTGGTGCAGACCCTGAGGGGTGGCCCTGGGGCTTAGACATTCAGGTGAGCGGAAGGACACCTGGGGTCCTGAGAACGCGGGGGAGAAGAGTGCTGGGACTTAAGAGGTCGTCAGCCTGTTCCCCATGGGTCATGCAGAGCAGACAGTTCCTGGTGGTCATGGGGGGAAGGGCACTGGTGTGGACACCTCCACCCCCCACCACTTTCTCCTTTGTCATCGTTGACAAGCAGACTGGACACCACACATGGCGTCTCATGCCACAGACAAGCGAGGAGGACAGATGGTGGACAGACTCGAGGGTGGGCCCAGGGATGGAGAGGAGGTGAGTAGCTCTCCGGCCCTCCCAGGCACCTGGCCACCCTGCTGGAATTTGGGATGCGGCTCTGCAGGACCCTATGGCTTCAGGAAGGCATGTGGAAGATGTCAGGCAGGTGGGCAGCTCCGGTGGCCGCCCCCAAGCCCCTCACAGCTTTGCTCCTAGAGTCATGCTTGCTCAAGGTTCCCAGGGAAGGGACGATCTCCAGTTCAAGAGCTAAGAGCCAGATATGTACGTCGCTGGACCCTCTGAGAAAACCACTAACAGGACAGCGTGCAGTGACCCTGGGCAGCAGGCAGTTGAGGACGGAGCGGAGACAAGCTGCAGGAGCTCTGTCCAAGAGACCTGGCTCTAGACAGTCAGGCTACAGACACAATGCCAACTATAACTGGGGCAATCCCAGTGCTCAGTCATGCCAACCGTTCCCAAGGCACACCCCTAGGTGTGCTCTCCCAGATGTGCCAGCTTTAACAGCAGCTGGTTGATGCTGATTTTCTCTAAAAGCACCCTGCTACCACCTTCAGCTCCTTGTGACACAATCTTTGTGGGTATCTTACCCACAGGTTCCTAGGTAGGCAGCCCTGATACATATATCCACAAAGAATAAGAAAAATAAAGTCGGCCTCTCAGAGTGCATGGTGGGGGCCAGTCTTAAAGATGCTGTGTGTGTGGGGGGGCAGAGTGTCGTTTACTCCAGCAGAAATTAACACATAGGGCCAAGTGGGGAGCATCTGTGTGGTCTTGTACTGTCTAATACGGCCTGACATGGAGTCTGGGCAGCAGCTGTATGCTTACCCTGTGTCCACCCTGCAGCTGGACTCATCTCTCTAGAAGGGTTCAGTACTGACTTGCTGTGGACACACACGTGTCTTTTTCTTTAATTCGCACACATGCTCTGGGTCAGGTTGGTCGCTGGGAACTGCAGGTCCCATGCAGCCCAGGGTGGGGGAGGTAGAGGGGACTCCCCACATCCTGTAGGTGTCATCTGCTGGAGAGGAGCTGAAGCTGTATGTTGGGTGCCCCCACTGGCCACAATCAGGCACCTACAGAGCGCAGAGCTCCTATGGGGCTGGGGCAGCAGGAAGGACCCACTGTGGAGTTGGTGGGTGTTTTATGTTGGGGAACGCTGAGGGAACATGATGTCACCCAAGCTGTGACAGCCAGTGTCTCTAGGCTCAGGACTCACACAAAGGGATGCTAGGAAAGACAGCCAGACTGAAATTTGGACTCCATGGCCTGCTGGGGGGGCGGGGAGTGCAGCGTGTGTGTGTGTGTGTGTGTGTGTGTGTGTGTGTGTGTGTGCAGTGTGAATGGGGCTCAGGCGGCCCCTGGACCACAGATACTGGGTCCTTGCTGGACATCACCACTAGCATGAGTTTGGCGAACATGCTTAGCTCTGGTCCAAAGGCTGGCGGTTTGAGTCCACCCAGAGGGACCTCAAGACAGGCTTGGAAATTGATGTGCTTTAAATCAGCCTCTGGAAACCCCCAGCTTTACTTATGAGAGCCAGGGGTACTGTAAGTCGGAACCGACTTCTGGTTTCCTACACCGAGATGTCATTAAGTTGCTCTGACTCATAGCTGTGATGTCTCTAAGTTGCTCTGACTCACAGCGAGCCTATATAGGGCTTATGAGGAATGGCTAGTGAGTTTCAACTGCAGACCATGTCCTTCACACTGACCTTGAGTTCCAGTACTTATCATAAAGTGCCACACCAGGACTCTAATAGAGAGGGAGCAGAGCACTTGACTTTACTATACTAGCTGTTTCCTAAAACGTCTAGGATTCTGGAAGGTTCTATTTCAGGAGAATAGACCTCCTATTCAGGTGAGGTTCACACCAACGCCAGCACCTGACACTTTCCGTGGATTTACAACTTACCGAGGAGTGAGGGGGTGGGGAGGCTGCTCTGCACACAGATCACTGAGAGGGGGGCTTCCGTAGTGGTCTGCATGGTGATGCAGGGAGATCCCATGGCTGCCCTCTTCCATAAACCAGGGACAAAGTTTAGCTTGTTTGTACAAAAGCTGGAGGGAAGCCCCAAGGAGCAAGCTGGCTCTGTAACAGGGACCCAGTGGCTACAGTCTCGCATCCTATAAAGTTGGGTTTGGTGGGCACTGGGCGGTGAGTTCAAGGGAGGGGAGGAAGGGCTGGCCAACTCAAGACATTGGAAAGAGCATATGATCTGCCTCTCGAAAACAGACAACTTTAAATGAGAGGAAGTGAGGAGGGAGGAAGTGAGGGTGGAAGGAAGGTGAGGAGGGTGGGAGGAAGGTTAGGAGTGAGGAAATGAGGGTGGGGAGGAAGGTGAGGAGGGAGGAAGTGAAGGGGGAGGGAGGAGGTGAGGAGGGAGAAAATGAGGGCAGGGAGGAAGGTGAGGGATAAAGTGAGGGGGGAGGTGAGGAGGGAAGGAGGATGTGAGGGGGGAGGAAGGTGAGGGATAAAGTGAGGGGGGAGGTGAAGAGGGAAGGAGGAAGTGGGGGGAGGTGAGGAGGGAAGGAGGAAGTGAGGGCAGGGAGGAAGGTCAGGATGTTAGTGTGGTGGATTATGAGCTAAGCTGCTCACCACTGCAGGTTAGCATTGGGAATCTACCTGCTGTTCCATGGGAGAAAGCTAAGGCTTTAAAGATATACAGGCTCGGGCCATTCGCTATGAGTCAGAACCAACTTCACGGCACATAACCACCACCATGTGTTACGACTTACTTGGTGGCCCATCACAACAGACAAGTGACTTTCACACTGGCCGGGGGAGCCTGTGACGTCTGCAATAATCTCACGATGAAACGTCTGAAGTAGTATCTGGGTTTTTGAAATGGGACATGGAGACACCAAGTGATAAAGCACCGCTGCCAAAGTTCTTCCGACAGAGCAGCCCAACGTAAGGCGGCTACGGACCTTCCGCCTGCAAAAGCGCCGCATCTTGGCAGGTGGAGAGACGCAGGATAAACAGGCTGCTCGTGTGGCGAGGGTCTAAGTAGAGGAGCTGCAGCAGCGGGTTCAGACATGCCAAGATCACCGGTGGTGCGTGACCAGGCATCTTACTGACCCCAGTATGTGAACTGTGTCTTAGCCGCAGCAGCCCAGCCTTGTCCCCTGCAGGTGGAACCTTCTGCAGGCAGTCCGGTCCCATTCTGCTACCTCAGCCTCCAGAGCACACACAAAACACAAAATCAAGAAAAGGCTTGTGGACAGTGCAAAAGTGCCCTGACCTCAGGCTGCTTGCGGGCGATTCCATCACAGCACCTAGGAAACGGTCATTTCCGGCTTTCCTGGCAAATGCGGCCTTGATTAAACCTCCCCAGCTCAGCAGCCCGCACATCCAAGGGTGCTGTTTAAGGCGGAGCAGCTGGTGGTGTGCCCCATGGCTGTAATCCAGAGTGGCCTCCATAGACCCAGGAGGAAGTGACAAGCTCTGTGCACCTCCAGGCTTCATTTCTGGGTGTCCACAGTACTTCTTTCCCTGAGGGTCGGGGTGCTCACTCGCTCGCCTTCGAGGATGCCTGACTTTCTGGGACCGGATCTCAGATAACTGGGTCCTCCTGAGTCCTAGCTAACCCTAGAGCACCCTCAGGTGGGTGCCATCAGACAAGGAAGGCCGTGTGTCCATTGCCCTGATGCCCACTCAGGGCACCCCACCGAATCAGGTGGATGTGGACCCCACAGGGCTGTCAGTGGCTGGTATTTTGGAAGTGGATTGTCAGGCCTTTCTTCTTAGTGTTAGTTTGGATGCTCCGATGAGACCTGTCCACCAACGGCATCCCTTTCAGCATCAGAGCAACACGGCAGCCACCATGGGAGGACAGACGGTGGCTTGGCTGCTGTGAGCTGTTGGTAGGTG